TCCTCTATCTGGATTATTTCTATCCTTTTCTTCTTCTTGCCTTCTCTCACCATAGAAACCCTAGGATGATGTCAACATGACTAATTTTCCAAAAGCCCCTACCCAAAATAGCAGCTTTTGCTTCTCTATCAAGCTATGGATTGTTTCTTCTCCATCTCCAGGACCAGTCAATGAACTGCATAGAAAAATTAGCCTCATGAGTTACGGTCTTACTTTATTTTTGTCCCAAACTAATATGAACCAGCCCAATTCACGACCTCTGGCTCTCAGTACTTTTTGGAAACAGCCACGCCCACAATTCTTATGTCCTTTCAAGGGTAAGACTTTACAAATGTCCTGTGCATCTTTGGTATAAGTGTATAGCTTTATTCTTTCCTTCAAAATGACTTATTCAGCAATCACCAAGTGCTTTCCTAGGAATCGGGGACATAGTAATGAACAATTTGGTAATTCTTCTTGGCATATCATAGATGCATAATAAATAGGTGTGAAGTAGATTTTTAAGGAAGACAGATACAGTTCTGCCCTTATGGTCAGCAGGGAATATACTAAATATAATGAGTTACAAATGAGACCTGAGTGGGTAAGGTAAGAGTACAAGTCTCTGGGAAAGTATAAGAAACAATGCAAAAGAAAGTGTTCTGTGTGAGGCCCTCAGGATGAGTGTTAAGTTAGTCTGGTGATATTTAGAGGTGAATGAGGCAGAGACAAGATGGGAGACAGAGAATATTCCAGGTAGAGGGAACAGCACACGGACCTGAATCCTGGGCAATTCTGGTTTGTTGGAGGGATTGAAGAAAGTCCAGGGCCATGGGGAGTCACTGAGGGATTTTACACATTGAAGTAACCCATCATATTTGCATTTCAAAGTATTTCTTCTGGCCAGGCATGGTGGTACAGGCCTGTAATACCCGTGGCTCAGGAGGCTGGGGCAGGATTATGGCAAGTTCAAAGCCAGCCAGCCTCAACAACTTAGTGAGGCCCTAAGAAACTTAGTGAGATCATGTCTAAAAAAAAAAAAAAAAGAGCTGGGGATGTGGGGATGTGGGATGGGATGTGGCTCAGTGGTTAAGTGTTCCTGGTCCAATTCCTGGTGCCAAAAAAAAGTATTTTATCTGTAGAATGGATGATGGACTTGTGGGAAGATAGATGATGGTTGGATAGATTAAGTTTGATAACAGGGACAGAGAGTAGATGGATTTTAGGAATAATTTGGGAGATATGGTGAGATTTGATGGTTGATGGCATGGGGTGGGTGAGGGGAGAAAGAAAATCAAGGATGATTCTGGGTTTCTGGCATAAATGTCATAAATGTCCGTGTAGATAGGTGCCATTTTCTGAGTTGGGAAACAATGGGGAAAGAGTGTGTGTGTGTGTGTGTGTGTGTGTGTGTGAGAGAGAGAGAGAGAGAGAGAGAGAGAGAGAGAGAGATCTAGCAGATTAACATAATGAGGTGTAAGCAACATGAACATGGGTCTTTATGTGTTTTGGGAGCTCAGGAGAGAGACAGCAAGATTAGAGGTGTAGCCCTCTGAGTGTTTGGCCTGCAGATGGTAGTGGAGCTGTGGACTCTTTCCAGTCCAGAGGGAGCATACAGAATGACACAGGAAAAGGACCACATCAACAGCTCTAAGTTTATATTTCTTTGGTATTTTAGAGCAATGATGGTTGTATTTACTGATGGAAACAACTCGATATTTATAAATGTAAACATATATGCAACAGCTATTGGTAACACTATTTCAAGCTTCTTGTTAGCAACAAATATCATTCCAGGCTTATCAGCCCCAACCACTCTGTGACCTACCAGGACTCCTAAACAGGACCCGGATTTCTCTCTAGTCCTAGAGCTAAACTTGATGGCCTAAAACTTAACCCATAATTTGCACTCATAGTGTGCCAGAAGCAGGGGTGCAAATTATTGCAATTCAGATATTTTTTTCAAAACCACAGCTAGCCTTGAAACTTTTGACATTTTGCTTACTATATTTATGTAAAGCATTGTGCACAACAGAAAAACCTTTCTTCAAAAAATCATGGTCATAAGAAGACAGAAAATCTGGGCTTAAAAGCATTTTAGAAAAAGTGAATTAAATTCAGTCTTCAAAAGACATTTTTTTATCGTTGATTTATTTGTGGTGCTAGGGATTGAACCCAGGACCTCTGCCACTAAGTTAAACTCTTGGCCCAGAAGGTTACTTCTAAAATGTTTTATTCTTCCAACCATGACCATTTGAAATTTAGTTACTTAGTTATCTGAACCCAAGAGAATGAAAGAATAGATCTTTTCTCTTTGTGATTACAGAAAGAAAATGGTTTAAGTGCTTTAGAGAATGTCACATAGAGTTTACTGGAAATAAATTATTTTGCAGAATTTCAGGAAAAATTTCTGTCTACTATGTTTGAGTTGGCAGATATTTCGGAGCATTCCTGCGGAAGAAGTGCCATTCTGGGCTGATGTGGTTCTGGGATTTCGAAAGATGACAGAGGCTGAGCTGAAGAAATTCCCTCAACATGTGTTTGGTCAGGCTTTTACAACCCTGAAATGTGAAACCTCTGTTTACCTCTCCTGGTTGGAGAAAAGGTGGGTTGAAATGGCTCTTGTAAGATTGCTTCCTTCGTCTGTCACAGCCATAAGTAAATTCATAGCTATCCAGCAAACACACATTGGAAATTCTCTGGGCCCTCTCCGACTCTTTTACATTGTGTCTTGCCACTCACCAATGTCTGGAGCTTTGTAAAACAGTCTGAAGACTGTGTTTCAGTCACAAGGACCAAGTTCACACCATGCACACAGTAATTAATGTGTTTTATGGGGTTACAGCATGCACTGTGATGCTCATGCCCAATTTGTCCCCTGTCCTTCTGACTCCCAGGTAAAACCACTTTACTGAAGTAGTATCTTAGTTTCCTGTGCTGTAAAAATGGAGAAATTTGGTTACTACTTTTCAGTTATAAAGGAATATGATTTACTTTAGTTTTTTTGGATGAGAATATCTTATGCTTATTAGAACTTATTTTTGAATTTTTCTCATTTGCAGTAAAAAAATAGGCTTCATTATTTTCTTTTGTTATGAGTAAAAACTCTAAAATTGAGGGTATATCCAATTATGTAATTACTTACTGACTAAGTTCAGCCCTTAATACCTTGAACTTGCATTTTGGCCTGGTTTTCAGGACTTCTTGTTAGAAAATACATCAAGAATGTATTTTTTTAAAAATATATTAATAAATCTCTTTTTTCATTCATTTTGAACATTACAGACACATTAATTGTTGTGAAAAATAGGTTCTTTTGGTTCCCAAGTCTGTGTACAGGTTGAATATCCCTTATCTGAAATTCTGGGGACCAGAAGCATTTTGAATTTTTTTTTTTTCTGGATTTTGGAATGTGTACATGCCTGGCATTTGGCCAGATGGCCAACATGGTGGAGGAAGAAGGCCACATGTCCCATTTGCTCCCAGGGGAGCCTTTGCAGGGAAGGGACTCTCAGGCCAAGATAAGCATTTTATGGTGAGGATTTTAGCCTGGGGAGGCAGGGCAGGTGGTGGTGAGGGGTGGGTGCCTGGGCCTCACTCTGTGGGCTGCCACCCACATGCCTCCCGGGGGCAGACCCAGATGGGCAGCCATACAATCCCTGCCTGTTCTTCACACTCAGAGTGTATTTTGTTGCCTCCTACGCCTCTTCCACACAATGTAAGTGTTTAGCTTTCAGTGTTCTGACTCAAAAATGAGCATTTCACTTGGTAAGCCCTACAGCAATGGTTTCTACCTCAGCACCTTCCTCCTGAAATTACATCTGCTCCCAGGAAACGTATATTATTTTATTACTACTTAGATCTTGAGTGTTTTTCAAAGAACAGAAGAGATCATCGGCTGCTCAAACAAGGCCCTTTAATTTCTAGAACAAACCAACAAACAAAATATCCTCAGAGGTTTAGTCACCCTTGCAGGTCATATTTTATATCTTTGGACAGTGGCATTGAATTCTGCTGTTTTTTACTTGCTCTGTCCAGGAAATGAATCATAGCAGCAGTAACTCTTCCACTAGGCAGCCGACCTAAATCAATTATCCTGCGAGGACCAGAGTCATCCTGCCTTTGATGACAACCAGAAATCAGGGTGGCCCTTTCCTGGGAGCTTGCCACTTGGCAGGCTGCCTCCCAAGGCCTGTGCTGACCACAGCACTGACCAGGCTGAACTCCCCCACACCTCCCTCCTACTCTCTGCTAAGGCCTCTCTCTGGGATGATGCTCTGTTTCCCATCTTTTTCTTCTGTGCCCTGTGCTCTCCCACCTACCCTGATTCCTGTGACTTCCTCCACAGCTTATAGAAGTAGGTACCTGTACTGTACATCAGCACTGAGATAGGTTGTGCCGGCCTTATACATCTGACTTGTGAAAGTCTGTTTCAGTGCGTATCACCTGCATTCCTCCTGCTCAATATAAACTAGGTGGTCAGAGCACAGCCTATTCCAGTGCCCCTATGCATTTTTCACCCTAGGGATTTCCTTCCTCTTCTCCCCGTCTCCTCTGCCCCCTCTCCCCCACTATTCCTGAGTGGAATTGGAGGCAAAAGGCCCCAGACACAGGGTGGAATGGGAGCAGTCCCTGATTAGCTAAGGCTGGGGTGAGAGGGCATTATGCAAGAAGGTGGAAAAAGGACAATGCTTTTTTTTTTTTTTTTTTTCTCATGATGGCTATGAGGTTCCTAGGGAATGGATGGAGGCTGTGTGAGGTGCAGTAACCCTTGGGCCTTCCACTAGGGCTTAGGTAGCTAACCCAACCTATGCAGCTGCAGAGGTGAATTTCTTCCCACAGCCTCACCAGCTAGATGGACCAGGGGGTGCATGGCCACTCCCCTCCAGGACCAACCTGGCTGTAAAAGCCCTGGTCTCAGTCATGTTCCCTTCCTTGAAGGCGCTAGAGGCTGTTCTGTGCCTGAATGGGATTTTGAAGTATTTGATATGAGTACAGAGTTGACAAGGCCAGGATGTGTATTCAGAGAAGTGTGAAATTAAATATGATTTATTTTGTTGGAGAAGTCATAGCAGAGGACCAGTGAGGACTGTGGTCATTAGATGAGGTAAGCTGGTCAGGTCAAAATGACACCATGCACATTTAGTTGCACTGGGAAATTAAAATACATTTTAAAACTCTTAACTATGGTCAGTTATGTTGAACATAGCTACATTAAGTGTTGCCTTAAAGAAACAGGGTCTGTTTCTTCTGTAAGTCTATATGCATAGTATTGTTTGCAAATTGAGATCTTAAATTAGTTTTCTTGATTTTGGACTAATAGACTTAGACTTAACATTTTTAATCTTCTGATCACTATTCATAAGGTGTTATTCTTTAGGTGGAAATCAGGGAGTAATTTTAAAAATTCACTACATACATCTAATTATACATGCCCAATGCATGCCACCTGGCTACATTTAATACAGTTGTCACATGTCACTGATTCACAGTCAGCCCTTCCCTTCCCATCCTCCATCTAGGTCCTTGATCCTGGTGCCAGCCATCTTTGCATCTTTCTGTGTCTTCAGCAGTGGCTTCCAAGTCCCTCAGTGGTTCTCACCTCCCCTCTGCAACCCATCTTCACACAGTGACTTGAAACCTTGCTCTTTTTCTCATTTCAACTAACTTGAGGATCTAGAGGCACCTTGGTAGGGGCTAGTCCTTCCTGGGGTCAGAGTGGAGCTGGCTTCACGTGCTATTGGAGAGGAATGTCCCTCTCCAGCTCTGAAGCCCTGGCTCCAAGCAGCCCTGCTGGGGCCTCACCAGTTCTCTAATCACTGGGGCCCTCAACCTCTAAGGGAGGATGTGAGTCAGCCTGGGAGGCCAGCGGGGGAAGGGTATGATGCCACCTTCCTTCCTCCTGGGCTGAGCCACATGGCAGAGTTTCCCAAGCCTCTGGTCTCCAGAGGAGCAACCTTCTCTCCCCAGCTTGGGCTTAGATCCAAAGGAGGGAGTTTTCACTTTATATTTGCATAAGCCTGAGGCCTATGTGGATAATATTCTCAAAATTGGGTGCAGTCTGTCTCAAAAGTAGAGTTAAAATGTCTACCTTTGGCCAAATTGGAAGCCATTTAGAAATTTTAAGTGACAAAACCAACTTTTGTCCACTTTCTATTCATTTAGTTACAAAACAATTGGGTTCTAAGTTTCAGCCAGTGGGTCCTAGCCTGCGCATTCCAGGTCACTGTGTTGTCTCTGCTGGTTTAGTTCTGCCTAGGCTGTGACTCCTGGTCCCCACTGTCCTCAAGGTTGCTTCTTCAGCAGAGCCCCACCTCCTGCTTAGTGCCCCGCCCCCAGGTTCCCTTGTCATCAGAACAAGGAATGGAAGGTGGGAGGTGGGGATTGCCTCTAGTTCCAAGAGTACAGAGAGGATGGAGGATGGAGGTGGGAGGTGGGGGGAGGGAGGTAGAAGTACTGAGCGAACCCATCGTGGTCAACCACACCCAACACAGTCTCCCGCTTTTCTGAAACTTTCAGAGAGTGAAGGGAAGAGTCCTTGCCTGTCACCTCCCATATCATGATCAGGCTGATGCTATGCAGCTGGAGGCTGACTGTTAGGCTTGGCAAAAACAGGCATTTTTATGTTTGAGGGTAAAGACCAGAGGACATTGGGTTGGGGCTATTTACCAAGCTGAGCTCCTATATCCTTGTGGGAGGTTGGGACAATAGTATTCCTTCTTTCTCTAGGATAAGATCTTGCTTAGTTGCAGGACACCCCAAGAGGAAAGTCACCTAGTTTCTTATACCCCCAACCATGTCATATCAAATAGCTACCTCACCTGGTCATGAAAGTCACCTTTTTAGATTCTTGGTCAGCAAAGTTAGCATTGAGCTTCAAGGACAGTTTCCTCCTATGTACTGGTGGGATGTGTAATTATGACTGGTCATTGCTGGGTGATCACATTGCAACCGTGTAAAGATGACCAGTCTCTTCGCATATTCAGGAAGTTTCCTGAGAGACAAGGAGGGGACTCCGCACATAAAGCTTGACAGGGCCTTCCAATAGCCCATCCATCTGACCATACAGGGAATCTCCAGTTAGGGACTGGTCTTTCATCAGCAGCTTCCTGCAGGGGACTATTGAAATAGAAGAGAAAAACATTTGCATTTGTGGGATTCTTATATAACATAACAACTCTGTGAACAATGTATTCTTACCCCTAGTTTATGGCTAAGGAAACAAATCTAGTGACCTTAAGAAATTTGCTTCGGTCTCAAGACTGATAAGGTCTCTTATTTCCCTAAATTAGGATAATAATTCTGAATTCTAACCAGGGTGACTGGAGCACAGAACATCGTGTCCAAACATTAACACATGGAACCTATAATCTATTAAAATAAGAGCAAAACTAAGATAACATTTAAAAAGTGATCAGATGATGATTCAGATAACATTCAAATAATGATAAAACTTTTTTTTAATGTGATGCCATAATTAAACCTAAATGCTGTATAGTTGCGAAGGGCCAATATCCTCAAAGATGGCACAGCAGGTCTTATATTTTACAGTGGCAAAACAAAGCCCTAAGCCCTTTATTTTTCTTATAAAAAATGGTTTATTGAACAACTGCAATGTGTTGAGCATTGTGTCAGACCTTCACCAGATGGTGTCTCATTTAATTTTCACAATGAGCCTCTGAAGTATTATTATTCCCACATTATGGAGGAAGGATTACAGCTTAGAGAATTTGATAAGCTAAAGGGTAGAGCTCCTCTATACTCTTCCTTAAAGATTTTTCTTGGTATCTGCTTTATAAAGACTTATAAACACATGGCAATGTGTTGTTCAGTATTGTCACAAGTAAAATCCCAGTTTACTTTTCTTTCTATCCTAGCGTTAGAGGTGAAAAGCTTTACAGAGTGATTTCACCTTTGAAAATACTCACCTCTCATTAAACACTTAAAAAACAATCGAAGCCCTCAAACTGTTCCACTGAGATAGCTGAAAACTTGTTCCCATAAAATCTGCTGCATTAAATACTTTTTATCTATGAGATTTTTTCCCCTTTTTTTTTTTTTTTTTTTTTTACTAAAACAATACAAAACTAAACTAAAAACTAAAAAAAAATTAAAAACAAAGCCCTGGACTCATTCTCTCACTTTTAACCACTTTAGTCACACCAAAGGTTTTATTCGTTCTCTGTGGCTGTGAAGTGTGGGTTTTGGCCAGATTCTTTCTTTTAGCTTTCTCAGGTGGCTTTCTCAGGTCAAGGACATATTGTGTCACCGATTTTTCAGAATAACAAATGAGGATGCGTAGGGTAAAAATGCCAGCGACCAGAAGTTAATTAAATTCTGCCTTTTGGGGGCACTGGTGCTGGAGATGACTACTTGTGTTGAATGGGAAGTGTACTACGGGGTCACATCATCTTAGAGCAAGAGGCAGCCTTTTGTCCTACCTGCCTAGCAGAGTGCTCTGCAAATATTTGTTGAATAATAAACAAATCTAATCCAGAGTTTTCGAATGTTCTTCAAATGGCTCCGTGGAGACACTTCAGTGATCTCTGTGAGGGAGGGAGTGTGGGGATGAGGGGAAGGAGACGGGTCTCTGCAGATAAGTTGGAACCCACTGCATAAGATGCTGTTTTACAGCTGAGCTGTTGGGGTCAGGGTCTGTAGGGCACTTTTGCAGCAATGTGCCACCCTCATCAATTTGCCGCATTTTCTGGAAACGGGAACCAGTGTCAGAGGCCAATTTTCTACAATTTGGTACAATTTTCAGCTGAACTTTCCAACTAGGATGTGGGGACGAAACACTAGAATCACTTTTAAAGAGTCCCTTCTGGCTCAATTAAAACCAGGGGCCAAACGATGCCATGATTCACATGGTTTCACCCACGTCTTCTTTGTGCTCTGAAAGTCTCTGTCTTTTCTTATGCTTTCTATCTCATGAAACCTGTTTATCTGACTTTGAAGGCAGAAATGCCGGCATGGCCACTTCTGCTCTCTCAGGAGCAGGAGGAGAGAATAAGCACTGGCCCTTCATTGCTGGTAGCATCTCTTTCCACATTCTCCCTGGAATGTGCTGGAATTGTAGCAGTTGTAGAGAGAGGATGCTTTTACGATACAAGTACAAGGTTATCACCTTTAAGTACAAGGTGATAACCTTGTACTTGTTAGGATTCTCCAGTGAAAGAGATCCAATGAGGAGGTGTGTGTGTGTGTGTGTGTGTGTGTGATACCCTATCACCTCGTACTTGTTAGGATTCTCCAGTGAAAGAGATCCAATGGGGAGGTCTGTGTGTGTGTGTGTGTGTGTGTGTGTGTGTGTGTGT